AGTCGCTTATTTTTCAAAGCTTAATAAGTCACAAATGCAAAAACTGTTCTATCGATAACATTTTATTTGCAAATAAGCCGCTGAACAATACTGATTCATTAGTCTTTCCAACTTCGTTTTCCAGATAGAAATTTAAATGCGTAATTATTTTCTCAAAGTGCGGTTGACTGACAAGTTCCATAATAAACAGTAGGCTATTAATGATTTTTAAGGGAGTTAAGACCTTAATTGGTTAATGAGAAGGAGCCCTTAATAAAGATATTGATTATGCCCGCTCTAAAAATATATTATCATCCAGGCAGCATCTATCGACGTGGTGCTCGACGCTGGCGCAAGTTGTATCGCGTCAATGGACACATCTTCCAGGCCAAGCGTTTCAACCGGGTAAGTGCTACCAAATCCAGAACCGCAAAGAACCCGTATTAATCCAATTTTGTTACCCCTTTCAGCGTGCTTTCTGTGCCTACTGCCAGGATCGAATCTGGGGCCTGGGCCGTCAGGGTTTCAAGTGCATCCAGTGCAAGCTGTTGGTGCACAAGAAGTGCCATAAGCTGGTGCAGAAGCACTGCACCGACCAGCCGGAGCCGCTGGTCAAGGAGCGGGCGGAGGAGTCCAGTGATCCGATGCCGGTGCCGCTGCCTCCGCTTCCCTACGAGGCGATGGGCGGAGGAGCCGATGCCTGCGAGTCGCACGACCATGCCCACATAGTGGCGCCACCGCCGCCGGAGGATCCCCTGGAGCCGGGCACCCAGCGGCAGTACTCGCTGAACGACTTCGAGCTGATACGGGTTATCGGACGCGGCAGCTATGCCAAGGTGCTGATGGTGGAGCTGCGACGCACAAGGCGCATCTACGCCATGAAGGTGATCAAGAAGGCGCTGGTCACCGACGACGAGGACATCGACTGGGTGCAGACGGAGAAGCATGTGTTCGAGACGGCCTCGAACCATCCGTTCCTGGTGGGGCTGCACTCGTGCTTCCAGACGCCTTCGCGGCTCTTCTTCGTCATCGAGTTTGTGCGCGGTGGCGATCTAATGTACCACATGCAGCGGCAGCGGCGACTGCCCGAGGAGCACGCCCGCTTCTATGCGGCCGAGATCAGTCTGGCGTTGAACTTCCTCCACGAGAAAGGCATCATCTATCGCGATCTGAAGCTGGACAACGTTTTGCTGGATCACGAGGGCCACATCAAGCTGACGGACTACGGCATGTGCAAGGAGGGTATTCGGTCGGGAGACACCACCTCTACGTTCTGCGGCACACCCAACTACATTGCCCCGGAGATCCTGAGGGGCGAGGACTACGGCTTCTCGGTTGATTGGTGGGCACTAGGTGTCCTGCTCTACGAGATGTTGGCTGGCCGCAGTCCGTTTGATCTGGCAGGTGCCTCCGAGAATCCCGATCAGGTTGGATACTTAGTTTCTTTTCCTTAAATAGAAATCTAACTAAGTTATTTATAATTTTAGAACACTGAAGACTATCTGTTCCAAGTGATCCTGGAGAAGACCATTCGTATACCACGATCGCTGAGCGTTAAGGCCGCCTCTGTATTGAAAGGTTTCCTCAACAAGAATCCCGCTGACCGCTTGGGCTGCCATCGGGAGTCCGCCTTCATGGATATTGTCAGCCATCCGTTCTTCAAGAATATGGATTGGGAATTGGTGAGTCCAAGGACGCTTATATTATCTCTGTGTGTCCTGGTGCACTTGTTTGTGATGATGATAATGTGTCAGGGTAACAAGAATAATCAGCTGGTTATAGATAACAAATTGTTCGGGCAGCAAAAACCAATAGAGTAAAGATAAAAATGAAACAAGCTCATTGCTAAAAGATATAAATCAGAAGGAAGATTAAAATAATATAATATATGAGTTATATTGAGACCAATGGTTTCCACATAGGTCAGGTCTAAAGTTGCTAGTTCAATATATTTTACTTTGTACTGCTGATAGTGATACAACTGAGGCAATCACTGTTGAGCATTTTTGTAATCACTTTGGACATTAATGATATCTATTATTACGTATACGATTGCGCGTTAAAGATAGCACAAAAGGAGGTGCAACCGCCTTATATACCAAACCTAGACACTGGCGATCCCTATGTGACAAGCAACTTTGATGTACAATTTACCCAAGAACCGGCTGTATTAACGCCAGATGATCCGTAAGTGATAACGAGTTACCCAAACCCTAAACGATGGCAAGTTGTTAGTATTTTTTTTTTGGTGTATTCCTTGCATGAGATAAACCCCTAAAAGATCTTAGTTTAGTGTCCAGACTAACGGCAGGTAATTGCTCCTATCGATCAGCCGCATTTCGACCATGTACCCTCAACCATTGAACCTCTCTATCTGTCTTTATAAATCTGAATCCATTTTAAGTGAATTTTATCATCGTCATAATCATGCTCAAGCCGCACTGACATATATGAGAAACAATGTCTTATGTTTGCCCAATTGGCTGGGAGTTTTTCCTAATCGATTATGATTTCTACTATCCTCATGCACACCCAAAATCACGCAGCTTGAGCGCAAACAGGTCACGCCACCATTCAAGCCACGCTTAGACTCAGATCGCGATCTGGCCAATTTCCCGCCCGAGTTCACCGGCGAGGCCGTGCAGTTGACCCCGGATGATGAGTAAGTTCATACTTAAGATGACCCTAACATTTATATCTCCTCCATGATTTTGTCACCATTATTCGAATCACGAATTAACATTAAACTTTTTTAAATCTCAGTCATGTCATTGATAATATCGATCAATCCGAGTTCGAGGGCTTTGAGTATGTGAACCCCTTGCTGATGTCTCTGGAGGATTGCGTCTGACACCACGAAATGTGCGACTTACATCCGTATAATATGCGGGTAAGTGGGGAACATTTAAATAAAATCCTGACTTGATACTTATAGATATTTGCTTTCAGCTCTATGGCGAGGATTCCAGTGATTACGATTCCGTGGCTGATGATTTAAGTCTCCTGCATTTGAACAGCGCAGCAGGAGCTGGTGGATCAGTCAGTAGCAACAACAATCTCAGCCAGCAGCAACATTATCGCCAGCAACAGCAGCAATATCATCCCCAATCAGTATACTCACCACAGCAACAGCAGCAGTTGCAGCAACTTCAGCAACATCAGCAGCAGCAGCAACAGCAACAGCAGCAACAACTTCATCATAATGGTAACAATAACATTCATAATAATCAAATGCAAGCAAATAATAATAAAAGTCTACTGCAGCACATGTTTTGCCTTCCATTGAACTAATTAAAATAACGAATTAGATAAAACAACAAACAACAACAATGAGCCACACAGCAACAACAAGTAGCAGAGCAACAAAGAAAATTAATATGTTTCCAAAAAGAAAAAATTTCATAACTATACAAGTTATATAATCCTCTCTCAACAACAGACACAACTTTCATAAGCAAAGTATATTTATTATATAAAACAAAGCGAAGTAAAAACTGTCACAAGTTGCAAGTATTCACTAAACGACATAAAGCAAAACGATTACTTTACTATTTAAGCACCTAGGCAGCCAGGCAAACTTTATGCAAGCAAAGGAAAAACCATTTCATAACTCAATGCAAGACTTTTCACCACGAAACTTAGGGAGAATGCTCCCGCGAGAATGCAACAAGAACTTTTTAAGCTAACGATACGTGCATCAAATATGAATATATAATTTTTAAAGGTTTAAAACTAACAGAGGACATTTCAAATTTAATTTTACTAGCCAGGAAGTGCGAGGAGGAGGAGAAGAGGAGTATATATTTCAAATGAATCAATCTATAATATCTAAGCATATATAAACTCTAATGTAAAATGTGTGTGTGTTAGTAATAGAGAGCAGAGCATGGTTTTTAAAAGCGACAGCAAAAGATGGACATATACATACGTGTACTGTGAGCAGCAATAGTTAATGAAAACAAAATACCACAAATTGTAATTTCGTAATTCTAATTTTTACACAGAGTATAGTTAACCAAATTTGGGAGAAAATTCTCTTAAAATGCGAACAAAAACATATTTATTTATTTTATTCATCTCTTCTTATTTATTTATAAAACACAAGCAAACACAATCCGTCTACTGGCAATATATCTTTGTTAAGTATTAAAGAAACTTTTGTTTTTTTATGCATTCCACTGTACTTACAATAACAAAAACATATATTTTTGTTAAATTAAGGAGGCATATATAATGTCATCAGAAAAGTAAAGCAAATTTACAAGTTTTTAGTGATGAGAACTTTTGTCGAAAAGAAAATCAAAATTAAAACTCTTTTCGTTTACTCTTTTTGCGTATTCTGCGAACATTTTTAGCCTAATATTTAAATATATATATACACATGCAACTTAAATACAAAATTGTAAATTTTGTTTTTCTAACCCACAAACAAATATTGTGAAATTAATTAAAATTAGTATATATCAAAAATATCATTGTGTTGCAAGGTAAATAAATTATTGTGTTTTTAATTGAAACTGAAAATAAATTTCAACAAAAATGTTACTTGTTAATGTATGAAAAGCAAATAAAAGACAAAAAATTAAGCGCATATTGTTAAATTTCCAAATACAACGCAATCTAAAGAAAGTAATATTGATCAAACCGAGTTTTTGATTCAACCAAATAGTAAGCAATCAATTTAAATACAAAACAAACAAGACAAACACTAAATCAATTTCAAATTGCACTTAAAGGTTACCGAGTTGATTAAAAACTACACTTATTCTTTGCCTATCCCAATAATTTCGTTGTTGTGTTTGATAACCAAGTTTTATGAGTAAGTTTAATTAGTATATAATGTTTTTAATTGAGCGTATACATAAATTTGTATTTTCTTCAACTGATGTTTCCGACTAATTTTTTTAAACTGGATGCACTTTTGGCATACATTACCAGATGCTAGCAAAATGTCAAAATGAAATTGAAAACGTAAACGATAGTTGCGTTACAATTATGCATATAAACAAAAACGAATAAAGTACTGTATAAGAAAAAAGTTTATTTTTAATTGGTTTTGAAAACAGTTTCCGTAAAACTTTTATTAACAATTGGGGGAAAAATTCAACAAATGCAAAACGTTATCCTATCGTGTGGAGGGGGTGCCGGTGTCCCCCACTCAGTTCCCCTGCAAAATGGAGACCGGCTCTTGCATAATCTCCTGAATCTTTGCCTCCGGAACTGGCACCCCATTGGCCAGCAAAGTGTGAACGATGCCATCATGTTTATTGCCACTTGAGCGTGCCTGAAGCACGAATTCCGTGTCCTGCAGCAGGAACTTGGTGTCTGTGCCGCCGTGAACGAAAACCGACTGCGAAATGGGGGTAATAAAGTGTTAGGATGTAGTGGAGGAAGTGGGGGGGAATAGGCACCCATCCCTTACCTCCTCGGTGCGCAGCTCATCGTTTACGTACAGACTCAGCGTGTCCAGCTTGAGCATTATCCTGTACTCCTGCGCTGCCTCCGCTGCCGTATCGCATGTGTAGAGCCACAGTCGATACTGCCGCGTCATATCCTCAGTGTATTGCTCGTGCGACTTTCCATCGATATAGAGTGAGTACTCGTACTTGAAACCCGGCGCAGGATCAACGCGAATGATGCAGCGCGTCTGATCGATGTGAAAGGTGTCCTCGCCAACCAACTTAAACATCCAGTCGCGACGCAGGACCTCCTACGTAGGGTAATTAAGGAAAACAGGAAAGCATTTAGTCAGTGGTTTTGGCAACAAATTAGAATTTCTATAGAATTATTTCTGAGACTCTTGAAATTTTAGTTAAAAAAGATTTCCGTTTGTAGTCAATGGTATATGCAGAATTTGGGAAGGGGGTACCACTTTTTCAGTCCTTTCTTGATTTGGTGGTTTAACACCAAAACCTTCCCCGCCATTTCAGAAATATGGATAATACCGATTCAATTAAAATATATACAAATTTTATTTGAGTTTAGTTTTGAGTTTATTGCGGACTTAATGGGGTTAAAGTTTGAAGTAAGCACGTAATAAACACAAATTTATTAAGGACGCGAACATAAATACAAGAAAACGGAACTCGGTAAAGTCGCTTAAGTGCTATTAAAGTTTATGCTCAATTTTATATTTCCTAGTATTCTTTTTCTATTCGCATTTACAATCGCTTGTGCCTCAAACATACTCCGTCATCTTCATCATATAGATGCTTAAACAACAATAGGAAACTCTTCAAAAAGCTTGGCAACCTATTTCTCTTGGAAAAGTGTAATTTCAATTTCAAACTTAATTGGCTAAGCCACAACCTCGTCACATTAACTCAACCAACTATTACATTTAGCGGAGCTTGTAATACGTTTAATGATATTAAAATTCCTAATTAATATCCTGTGCTAGTTAAGGATAACCGCTCATAGGGGAGTCAAAAGCAATTCACTTAAAAAAGTACACGTACGTACACGACCTGTAATTAAGTTCGCCTTCACAATGCAAATACTTCAACAGCTCCGAAAGCCACCCATCCATCAGCACACCCAAAGAGCTAGAAAACTTACCCGACCATTGACCCAAATCATGCGCCGCCCACTGGTGGTTCCGTGTTCCAGCTCGATGCGGTACATCTGCGCGAAAAAGGGGGGGACAATTATCGCGAATTTCCATCAGCTTAAGTTGCGGTTTCGGAAAACACTCTTTTTAATACCTTGCCATTGATGGGCACACACCATTGGGCCACGATGTTCTGTTTGTTGTAGCGCTGGTCCTCGGGCACATGATCCTGAGTCATCGTGGGTTGCGTGGACAGATTCTCCAGGCGCAACGTGGGCGAGAGAAAGGACATGGGTCCGCAGACGAAAGCCTCGCGTCGATCCCACCGACAGCCAATCAATAAATCCTATTAATATTTATAGTAATCGCCTTAAAAGTGCAACCAACTAAATGGGTTACACAACCCACAGAGGATATTGGTGGAGTTCAAGGAACTCTGGAATGCGGGGCAACTTGTGTAATCTGCAGATCTTGCCTAAATGCACTTTCCACCTTTGTTTTAGGCCCCGGAATCGCTCTTGATTTTATTCCGCTTTCTGGCTTTACCGGTCGGCGACAAAACCGCAAGAGTGAACCGCACGTTGTTAGCGCCAATGGCACACTAAACAACAAACCCGTGCACAATAAAAGCCAAAGAAGGAACTGAAGAAAAACTAGTTGGCCCGGCTGGCTGCCTTTGCCTTTGCCTTTTGGCCTGGCTCTCCGGCTCTGTTCTGTTCTGTGCTTCTGGCCGAGAGTCGCGGTCGCGTTTGTCGGTCTGCCAAACTGAAGGCAAAGTGCAGAGCAACTACGCCGCATGGCGCCAAAACAGAGTTGATTTGTTTCCACTAGCCGTGCGTGTGGATATAAGTTTGAGTGTGTGTACAGGGAAGGCACCTTAAGACGAACAAAAATGTATGGTCTGAAATTTAGCTAAGGAGCTGATGATCAGGTTTGGCTTCCTCTCGAAACAATCGAAATTTCAAGCCTTTACTTTGAATATTAACTATAATGTTAACTACTAATTGACTAGATCTGTTTCTTTTTAGTACCATTCTAAACTATGCCGTATCCTAATGATTTGAATCTGATTGAAAATGTCCCAGTAACTATTTCTTAAATGGGAGCACGAATCATCTAAATTCATTATCTTAAGACGGGCAAAATTTAAATTATGGATTGATAAACATATTTCTAAGATTCTTCAATACTGTCATAAGTTAATATCCAAATTTCCTAAAATGCATATAATAATATTTTCTTGGTTTCTAGTAACAATTATAAAAAATAAATAAACAAAGTGAGAGATATCTCAAGTTTTTTATTCCATAAAAGGTCAAACTTAATAAAAAAGTATAGAAAATATGACAAGTGCCCTGATAAACAATTATTTTATAACACTTTATTAAGAATCCTTACTGTATCCACTTCTCAATACCCCACCGAGTGTCGTCGCTCGCATAAAAATAAACTTTGCCCCGTCAAGTATGCAATTGTTTCTGCATTGCAATTGGCCGCTCCTTTGAGCCTGGGCTTTCGCCAATGCCTCCGGCCTCCAATTGAGCGTAAGCCAAAACAATAATCGTGCATACATATTTTATTCTGGATGACAATTATTTGGCCCTGGGGGATTGGAGACTCCACTGTGCCGCACCGCCTGCCTGCCACATGGGCAATCGGCGCAAATTTGTCGCATTTTGTTTTGTTGTCATGTTTATGGCGCAACATTTTCTGGCCATAAATACACGCCGAAAATGCTAATGACCGATTGGGTGGGTTAGTGGGCGACGATGGGTGATTCGGATGCGGATTCTTGGGTGCCAAACCAGACGTGAAAACTTGCCGCCTCCGGGTGGTATTTCAATCGACCAGAAGCGATATTGATAAATGTATTTGGGCCAGATTGGATAAGGAGTCGACACCGAAACGGGCACATCATATGTCAAATCAAGTTTCCCGGGACTTGGTCTATATATGTAGCCTTGCTCCAACCCATTACCTCCCCCCACCCCTCTGAGTGGGTGGTAAGAAAAAAACATATGCCATCGCCCCAACACGCGAAGGTCACTGACAAAGCGCCGTTTGAAGTCGCTTACAGTTTTAGTTGATGTTGACGCTATCAAAGGGGGTGAAGGTGGGTGGTTCTGGGTGGTTTTTGGACTCCCTATGTGTGTGGTGGTGTGTGTGTAAAAAAGAAAGCGGGGGCTTGACAACAACAACAGCACCAGATAACGAAACATTTGACAAGGACAAGGCTGCCCGCCGCCCGTCAACTCCCCTTTCTGCACGAAGCTCCCCAGAGGCAGTGTGTTAGTGTAATTATTAGTGCCGTACAAAATAAATATGATGGTATATTCATACAAACATGCTTCTTTTTGACGCTCGCTCGCGAATCCGCAGGCTTAAGAACCATGGGAGTTTTGTAAAGCAAGCTAATTAATTGTCCTAATAGAAACTAAGATCATAACCTTCCAAAAAATGTCCCAATTTCAGCATATAACATCCAAAAAAATATCTGTTAAAAGATCTTAGTTTTTCCCCAAAATATACAAAGTAAAAAAAACCTCACCATTCTCCGCATTAAAGTCACCAGCTTTAGGAAATGCAATGCACTCCAAACCTCTTTGGATACTTAAATGTAAGTATTTAAAACTAGCTCAATTTCTACTTCAGATAAAAATATAAATATATAAGTAATACCTTTACTCCTTTAAAAGTTTCACTATTTTATCCTCTTCAGCCCATTGTCCTCGGTTGCGCATTTTAGGTTGACTACTTTCCAGTTGAATTTATGGACCATTCCGCTGGTTGTACACTTTTTATGCAAATATATATGGCCAAAAGTGCCGCAACAGACAACATTTGCTGGCGCTGTCGTTGATGATGTTGTAGCTAGTCCGTTGGAGCCAGGGGACACAGGACATGCAGGGAGTGGGTCGTCCTGGAGGTTTGGATTGCGTGCCTCGCTGGTGTCAGTCGACTGGCACACTACAAATGTCGCCGACAATTAATTTCCATAGATAATTGCCTGTCGATAACGACAGTGGCAGCCGGGGACATTAATCAAACGGCCGGCTGTTGACTAGATGGTTTTTGTTCTTGGCCCTTTTGGCGGCTGGATAAGATTTAATCAAAAACTATGGCGAAATGACAAAGTGAAAGTTGTATTTCAGTGATTTGTGGTAACGCTCTTAAATCAAATTGAATTGGCAAAATGTGTGCGCTTGCTTAAGTTAGCTAGATTCGTATGAAAGTGTGTGTATGTGTGTGTGGGCGTGTGTTCTTCAATTAAGCACATATGTATGACTATATATAATCGCTATGAATAAAGAAGTGCTTTACTTTCGAATAGATTTCATTCGTTTAACCAGATAAATAATAATACTGATCACAACGCCAATAGTGTGGGAATTCAGTTTGTGCTAACAGTTTGCCATTAAAAATAATGTTTGACACTTCGATCGATTGGACAATAAATATGGAGTATACGTATATGTAAATATATATAGAATTTATATTGCTGCACCATAACAACTAACATAAACAGCAAATATATTTTGTAATCAAGTAATTGATCTATACATATAATTTTGGGAACAAATTTGAACAACGCTGGGCGTAAAATAGGCGCTAGTTGAAGGTAATTTGTCTGATTATCGCGAGTATATATATGAGTGCGTGTATATACCAATAATCGACGCTAATTGCACTATTTATGTGTATTATGCTGTTACATTCCACTGGCGGTCAGAATAATTGTCGCTCCTCTTGAGATACAAATGCCATATAAATGTAATCTACGCATCGTGATTATGGAGTACAGGTTAATTGTGTATGTCTAGAACTCATAATTGACACAACGTAATATTGCTTCTTCTACTGTTTAACTTAACTATTTACATAAGATACCGATTAAATACTGATTTATTAAATCAAACTTTGATAAATAGAACTTAATAGTCGCTTCAATTGGATTATAAAACGACCGTTTTAAAGTAAAATCATAAATGCATTTCATTTTCAATTCAAATTTTGAGAATACTTGTTCAGGGCTATAACTACTAATTTTGGCCATAATGTGGTATTATTCTTCTATTGAGTATGGGGATACTTCATCTAGGTGTTGAGAAAATGGCAGTTTGGATTCATCTATCTATCTAATATACGAAAAGCATGGATTCCTCTAGCTGGCAATAGTGCTCTATGACTGATCGATTGACCGCCAGTGCGGAAGGGAGTTATTATGAACTAACATTATGATAGGTCCAAGTGGTTTTCATCCGATATCGGCGATGCTGCTTATTGGAAAAATGCGTTAGAAAAATGCACAAAAAGTCTTCGGTCTCGGGATGGGAATCGGCTTAGGTCGGTAAACAAATTGATCATCATTTTCTCGACAACATAATGTTCATGACCGTGCCGCTGTTAAGCAGCACTCGTTTGGCATCGCTCAGGTTGGCATTGGTCAGGTCGTAGCCGTCTATTTCCAGCAGCTTATCGTTGAGGCTCAGCAGGCGAGCGGCATTCGTATTAGGCGTCACAGAGCTTACAAAGATGCCAACCTGTAATGAAAAATAGTTATTAATACTAACTGATTTGAGCGATTAAAGGCTTAGAAACACACCTGATTAAGCAGCTCGGCTATGTCGAAGCCGATGCTGTGCTCCCACTTGAGGGTGACCTGTTTGACTGTTGGATTTTTGTGGACACCAAATATCCAGGTGGATTTCTTGTGGCTCGCTTTGGAAGTATTGTTTGTGGCCGTGGAATTAAGCGAGTGCTGCGACATGCTGTCGTCCAGCTCTTGGTCATCCTCCTCCGGATTTGGCTCTAAATTGTTGCTAATATTGTTCTGGTAATCCAACTGATCGACCGACTCTTCGTTTTCCTGGGCACCGATTGCCGTGGTCTTGAAGTTGCTATTCAAGGCATCCTGGTAGATGGTTTGGTCCTGCAACTGCTGTTTCCGCTGCCGCATGGACTCGTAGAGGTTGAGATCCTCGGGCGTTTTCTTTGTGTAGACTCGAGCTATGTGATACGGTGGCGGTTCCAATCGGGGTGGCACTGCTTGTTGCTGCATGGGTTGTTGTTGCAGGGGCTGCAATTCGTAGTCCTGCTCCCCGTTTAAATGCGTGGTGGGAAGCGGCGTGTTGGCCTCCACGTAGAGCTGTTGGTAGTGTGCCTCATAGTTGACCAGTGGCAAACCGTAGTATTCCTGCGTCGGCACTGGATGCGCCATCTGCTGTGGTTGCTGATAGACTCCGTAGATGTGTGTCGTTTCCGGCGTTATGCCGTATATTGCACTTGCTGTGGCCTGGTCCACAACATCCTGGTTGGCATTGCTGCTATCACAGTGAACTTGGCCGTTGGCCACCACGCGTGCCTCCCTCACCTCGCTTGCATTGGCCGATGTGGTTGCCGCCTGAGCCTGCCGCACGTACTTGGCCATCTGGCGCAGCTCCTTCGGATACGGTGTGGGTGAACGCATCAGCCGCACGGATCCGGACATTTGATCGGGGGTCGGAGTTGGCGGAGCGGCCACATAAGTGGGATAGCTGGGCGCTGGCTGCGGTTTGGCATTGCTCAGAATGGTGGCCTCCTCGGCGAAGCAGATCCTTCGGGAAGGACTCACGTGGGGCTGCTGCTGGTTAGCGTAGACGAACTCGTACTGTTCCTGGGCCTGCTGTTGCGCCTGTATACTGTTCATCTTGAACGTCACCTGCGGCAGCATGAAACAGGTTAGCTGAGTCTTTGTACTTGCATCCAGATACTGCAGAGGCACCAATGGCTGCGATTGATTATCGCTCAGCCACATCGATGTGAGATTCACTAGGTTCAACATCGAAACGGGCAACGCATTAATGTAGTTATTGACCACATTGAGCACTCTCATCTTGCCCAGGTTTCCAATGTTCTGTGGCAGGGCTGACAACTGATTATTGGCCACACTGAGGACACTTAGCTGCTGGCAACTGCATAGCTCATCCGGCAGCTGCCGCAATTGATTATCATCGGCGAAAAGGAAGCGGAGGCTTCTTAACATTCCAATCGTACTGGGTAGGCGAATCAGTTTGTTGTGGCTCAGGACCAGTTCCTCCAATTGCTCCAAATAGCTTATGCTGTCGGGCAGCTCCGTCAATCCGTTCGACTCACACTTAAATGTCACCAGGGACTTAAGCATGCCCACGCTGAAGGGAAAGGCCTCCAGACTGTTAGAACATATGGACAGCACCTCCACGTTCCGCCAGTTACTCAGCTCACTGGGCAGTGTGTCCAGAAGATTGCCATTGGCCTCAAAGTGCTGAAGCTCGCGCAGCTTGCCAATGTTGGTCGAAACACGACGTATCTGATTGAAATCGATCCAAAGTTCGCGCAGTGACTTTAGCTCGCCAACAACTTCGGGCTAGGGATGAGTTTAAAATTATTATTTATTTAGTTATGAAGGGTATTTGCTAAATCTGATAAAAGGTTATCTCACAGCACTTAAAAGCACTTTAACTTATTTAAAAAATCAACTGATTTAACAAAAGATAAGATAAGATCATAACTATTGAATACCCTTATTTATTCCCTTACCAGCTCTGTAAACTCATTGCCACCAATATCCAATCGCTGTAGGTTTACCAAACGCACCATGGATTTGGGCAGCGTTATGAGATTGTTGAGTCGCAGCTCCAGAATTCTCAGATTTACCAATCGACCAAAGTTCGCAGGCAGAAACTCAAGGTAAGTCTCGTTTAGCAGCAGTTCCTGTAGTGAAATCAAAGAGGTTATGGCATCGGGAAGACGTTGAAGGCTGTTGCAGCTCAGATCCAGGTGGGTTAGGTGCTTGCACGACTTGATCTCCTCTGGCACATTGACAATAACTGAAAGGTTAAGATATATTGAAGTTCTGAGGGATATATTATAGACAAAAGCTCACGATTTCTGTTGAGATCCAGGTGCTGCAACTGGCGCAGACTGCCGATGGCCTGAGGTATGCTCTCCAGATTGTTACTGTTCACGTGTAGCACCCTTAATCCCTGGCAATAAAACAATTGCGGTGGCAGAGCTTGCAACTGGAAGATAAGAATGGGTAAATATGAATCTTAGATAAAGCCAATAAGTAATCACTCTTGTGGTGCTCAAGTAGAGCTCCTCTAAGGTCCGCTCATGTTGCCAAACTTCCGGGAAATCGGTCAATGGAGTATTACTATAGTCGAGCTTGTCGATCACCTCCTCGCGCTTGAATTTAAAGCAGGGGAAGCATTTACTCAGCAGCGGCATCTTTGGATTAAGTTTATTGCTTTTCGTTAGTTAATTAAGGCACGTTTGTGGCTGCTGTAATATGTAATATATATTAGATGGTTTTAATTCAGGGTTGGGCCCAGCTCACCTGTGATTCATCGCCTCTGGTGAGGCGCTATTGTGAATATGGTTGGTCCTGCTCCATTACATTCCATGTCCATTGGCATTTTTGGGCTTGTTATTGTTCTGCCCACCAACACTAACACGCACACTCACCCACACTCGCATACACTCACACAGAGGAGACTTGGCAAGCCTCTCTTCTTTCTTTTTCAAGCATTTACCACTTATAAACTAATCAATTTGTTATTTATTTAAGCGCTTTATGCCGACCCGAAGCGAGTGCTGTTTGTTTTGGCCATTTAAATGCGTTTTATTTAATGTTTTTCACTTTGAAAACGACAAGTTGCTTGCAGGTGTTAGTGTTGGTAAATGCCGAACGGGATAGTGATGGTACAACACAGAGTCATGATTTGAATTCATGGAGTTATCGATAATTTGATTGTAATTTGATTTGATTTGAAATTTTAAGCTTAATTATCATTTTAGGGTAAATACTTTAGATTAAACGGAAAAATGTGCGGAAAAAGGATGAAGAGCGAGTACTAAATTTCTTGTTTTAATATCTTTTAAATTGAGTTATGGGTAATTCAAACCAATATATCTTGTAAGTGTCATATCATTTTAAAGTGGAGTTCAGATTTATGATTAATTTTCATTTTATTATATTTTTCAAAATTGTCATCTCAAACTATCGATAAGACCAAGCTATCATGTTCAATAACTGACGTCCAGGTGTCGCTACAACCCACAGTTTCTTTTCAAATAAAATCAAAATAAACGTTACAAAAACAAGGTAGGCGCGCATGCATTTTTACTTTTCAAATAAAATCAAAATAAACGTTACAAAAACAAGGTAGGCGCGCATGCATTTTTACTGAAAATGCTTTACCCTTTGCTAATTAGTATTTACTCTACACTTCCTGGCTGCGATTGCGCTTAGGTAAACTCCGTATGTTGTGTTGTCACAACTGTTGATAACGGCAACTTGCTAACTTGGCAATAAAACAAATAGCAATAAGGGAAATCAAGCGTTTTTGAAGTTGCAAAGTTCAAATAGGTTAATGCGAATTCCGGTCAAAAAACAACCAATTAAATCTTAGCTCACATTGTCTCTAGACTTGGACTTTGAGTATTGGATGTCGTCAGGTTTCGTGAGTTTCGGTGGTGTGAAAATTATTCAAATAACGGCCTTTTTTTCTGATTTGTCGTTTTTTGTCATATTGCCGCGTCGTTCGGCGGAGCATTGACGAATTTACACTTCAAACAATTGTTAAACTGTACAGCATAGTGCAAATAAGTACGTAATAAACAATGTGCTTGTCGCCGCTGTCATTTGCAAGAGAAAAGTTGTGAGGCTGCGGATAAGCTCAGTTTCGGTTTCAAAGTTGCCCGCTGCAGTTGAATCGGTCGATGTGAGTGCGGGTGGCGTTGGGATTACTGCTCAAATGTTGCAGCACTATCTGATAAATTCGGGTTATACCAATAGACGAATGCATATTCGCAATAATAAATAAATAGCAGAATTGCAGTGATATTAACAAAGACGATTTTATGTAACATTCAAAAACGACTAAATCTGATTTATGAAGATTTAGTGTTACAGAAAATATACCATGGAATTTATTTTAATCTGTTTCGCAATCTCTTTGGCTCAAAATCAACATAACATAAAAATCTGAGATTCGCAAAATATCACAAACAATATTTGTGCAATGGTAGCATTTTTAGACTCAAAAAAAGAACAGACCAAAAAATATGTATAATGTTTTTAGTTCTTCAAATCGAACACTGTCGCAATAAGGCATGCAAATTTTATTTTTACTGGAAATGAGTAAGGTGTAGTGAAAATAAAATTACGGAAGTGCGCGAAAAGTAATTGTTACTGAAAATTTAAACTAGTGACAGAATATTTATTGAATTTGAACACGTAGCGAAAAAAATCGTAGTTCCTATTTTTGCTTCTGTTGTATAAATGCACTTTTGTTTAGCACTTTTAATTGTAAACATTAAAAGGCCTTAAAAGGTAACCCCGACTTTTGAAGGTTTGCATTAAAAATTAACAAACATCTGTTAGGCTTTCACGGCCAATTAAAAGCAAATAGTTTGAATTAATTTGTTTGTAACGCTTATTACTTTGTTATAGTAAAGTCAATTTATAGGTCAAAAGGGTGCATATTCCACGCATTTCCTTTTTCCTTTCTAGTTTCCACGTCCTGCATTACATTTTACATTGACACAATTCCCAAAGGACGATTTGAATTAAAAACACCTGTCGACCAGTGGCGTATGTTTGACTTTTTCAAGGGGTATTCCAAAATAAAAAGTAAAATAAAAATTGTTTTAAAATAAAAAGGGGAAACAGAATTCTTGCGTAAGCCACTGTTTTTCGTTGAGCGGTATTTCATTCAAAAATCATTTATGACTCACACTATCGCTCAAACCAAATAGACAGATAGCGAAAGTGCCCGACAAATTGGAAGGGTGTGGGGGGAAAATAACACCCCTATGGAACCCACCACCCTCTAACTTGGACTCTCTTCTTTGTGGGCGTATTTTCACCCCCTGAGCGAATCGGTTATATAGAGCACATTTTGTTTAGATGGTTTTATTTAATCATTATTCCCTTTCTGGGAACTTTATTTTAATGCCATCAACTCCAGTTCCCAAAAATCCAGATGGGAATGTTTACTTCTTCTTGCCTTTGCCCTTCTTGGCACCCTTGGCTTCTTTGGCGGCTGGTTCCACGGTGGCGTTTGATCCAGATGTCACAGGATCGGCGGTCGGTTTCGCCCCCGCAGGAGCCGCAGCTCCTTTTTTCGAGCTCTTGGCAGAATCCTTCTTCGCGGGCATTCTGGGGGTACACAAAATGAAATTAATACAGTAAAAATGAACTTTAGGATTTAAATATAGCTAGAATTACGAATTACAAATAAAAACTAAAAATTTGTTTTTTTACTAACCTAACAAGAATTTGGAACAAAACACAGAAAATATGTTTCACTCGAGCCGAACACGATGTTATTCGCTTGTGATTCCGGTACAGAGTGATTTACTAAGGCGTTTAAACTTTCCATTCAAATATTAAAGTCATGGCTTGCTTGGGTCATTTGATAAAAAGAATTATTTAAATTCGAACCGTTTCGCGAATCGGTTAATGGTTCGCGGCCGTTTTGGGTGGCGGGCTCTCTTTTGTACTCTCCGTAATTTCCCGGTTCTCTATATCTCTCTCCGGCCGTGGTCCCATTATTCAGATTTCCGTGCAGTTAAGGGAACGAAAGCCAAGAGCGCGCAACATAGGCCGCATAAATTTCTAGTGCAATTTCTATTTAAGTAATTTTAGTTTTTAGCGCAACGTGCTTGTCACTAGCTTAGGAGTTCCATTCATAAGTAGATAAAAAATATTAAAACAATATAAACTTGTACGCAATCAGCAGGCTACGCTTTTCCTGACGCCGCCGACAAAAAAAAGGGGACGCACAACAATTATCGATTTTGCGCCCATGTGAAAGCGATTGAAAAAGCGTCTGCAATTTCAAAGGAAAAGTATTTTTTATACCTAACCAAACCAAAGTGCAACAAATCCGGAAAATGGCAGCCAAGCGGAATGCGGTGACCACGGAAGCTCCGGAATCGTCGGCGCCCGGCGAAGGTACCGCCCTCGCCCTCGACTCCCGCCTCTCGAAAAGCGTGGAGAGCGTTTTCCCCAAGAAACGGTGAGTACCAAGGACTGTCAGTGTTTACACAGAGAAAAATTATAAGGACAAATTGCAAAATTTTGAATAATTTATAAGTTATTTGTACTGCCTATAATACCACTTAATTCATCAGTTTATTATGATTATATTTATTTCGCTATAAATAACAAATTCTACAAAAGAAACAGTAACTAAGATATTAGGATTCTAATTCAAGGATTATATATTCTTTTTAATTTTAAAACAACATAAATAATTGTAGCTTGCGATTTTTTGTAAGCATTTTAAAAGTAGAACTCTCACTGATGATTTTAAATTCTTTATTCCCTAAAACAGCCACGAGTCCCTGAAGTGGTTTGGATGGGGATACAATGACTCGCAGTTCTATGGCAAGGATGGCATCATCTGTTTTCGCGGTGAAAGGTGAGATGACCACATTAAAAATCCATCACCAAAGCAGTATATAACTCCCTATTCCCCCACAGATATCCCCTTGGTGGCTGTGAGCTGCCCAGCTTCACCAAGTGGGTGGAAAAAAAGTTCGATCTGGTGGTGGATCCCACCAAGCCATTTCCCCAAATGCCGCGAACTTATCCCCGACCCGTGGAGAATGAACCCTTCCTGCACGAACTGAAGGGCACCACGCAGGTGGATCACTCGCTGGAGGGAATCGATCGGCTGGTGCGGTGTCATGGCCAGACCCTCAACGATATATACAGCCTGTGGCACCACAAATTCCGGCGGATTCCCGATCTGGTGGTGTGGCCCCGCTGCCACGACGAAGTGGTCCAGTTGGTGCGACTGGCCCACAGGCACGATGTGATGTTGGTGCCTTTTGGAGGAGGAACGAGTGTGTCGGGGGCAATCACCTGTCCCCAGAACGAAAGTCGGATGATCTGCGCCTTGGACACCTCCCAGATGAATCGACTACTGTGGCTTAACCGGGAGAATCTCACGGTATGCCTTGAATCCGGCATTGTGGGTCAGGATCTGGAGAGGGTGCTAAGAAAAGAAGGATTGACAGTGGGTCACGAACCGGATTCCTATGAATTTAGTACCCTGGGAGGCTGGGTGGCAACCCGTGCCTCTGGCATGAAGAAGAATGTCTACGGCAACATAGAGGATCTGGTGGTGCGTCTGAGGATGGTCACTCCATCGGGAACCCTGGAACGGGAGTGCAGTGCACCGCGAGTGAGTTGTGGACCCGATTTCAACCACCTCATCCTGGGATCCGAGGGAACGCTGGGCGTGATCACCGAAGTAGTGCTCAAAGTACGTCCCTTGCCAAAGGTGAGGCGTTACGGATCTCTGGCCTTTCCCAATTTCGAGCAGGGAGTGCTCTTCATGCGAGAAGTGGCCCGGAGGAGGTGCCAACCCGCCTCCGTTCGGCTGATGGACAATGAACAGTTCATGTTCGGCCAGGCCTTGAAGCCGGAAAAGTCCTTTTGGTCCAGTGTGGTGGACGGACTGAAGCAGCGCTACGTTACCTCCTGGAAGGGCATCGACCTCAACCATATTTGTGCAGCCACCTTGCTTTTCGAGGGCGATCAAAAGGATGTGGAGCGCCAGGAGGCACTCATCTATGAGATCGCCGACAAGTTCCAGGGATTTCCAGCGGGCGGACAAAATGGGGAACGCGGATACATACTCACATTTGTGATTGCCTACATTAGGGTAAGTGTATTTTTTTATTTCTAAATAAATAGCGTAAAATTAAAGTGAAAATCAACATCATTAGTTTTATGACAAAGTGTTTCCGGTTTTACGACCCAATGTATGACTGGCTTTACATAATGTAGTTTCTCAGTTATGATACTAAGGGATTAAACCTGTCACAGTCATTATATTTTATGACTAAAATTAGATAAAATATTATAATTACTATTTTGATATGGCTACTTAATTAGTCTTTCTTATCTTATATAGTTTGGTCATAATTAAAGTAAAGAATCTAATCGCTGATATTGGAATAATTTCTGAATGATTATCATTTATATGTGAAACCTCACTCAAGTTAAACATAATTCAGTTTAATAAATCTTAAATGCAATCAACTTTGGAAAACCTAATCATTTAATTTTAAAATAATAATAAACAATACCTTTTTTTGTTGATGTTAAACACTTAAAAAACCAGTTTGTGAAAAACATTTGTAATTATTTGGTATGTTGTTCTTAAATTTATGACCTTTCATAAGGTTGAAAGATAGTAAATAGCTTTACTTATTTTTTCTTTAAGTTATAAAGCCACGTTTACTAAATTAGTTTGTATATATTTTCACAGGATTTTGGCCTGCATCAGGGAATTGTGGCTGAGTCCTTTGAGACCTCGGTGCCTTGGGATCGCTGTAGTCTGCTATGTCGCTCCGTCAAGCAGCGTGTAGTTTCTGTAAGTATTATACTTTTATTATACTTTACACACCTATTAACCATTGTCTATTTGCCCCTTTTTAAGGAGTGCCACAAACGCAGCATTACCTATTACACCATTTCGTGTAGAGTAACCCAAACATATGACTCTGGTGCCTGTATTTACTTCTACTTTGGATTCCGTTGCACAGACGTATCCAATCCCGTCGAGCTTTTCGAGGCCATCGAGCACAGTGCTCGGGATGAGATCCTCTCCTGCGGTGGATCACTGTCCCATCACCATGGCGTGGGCAAGATCCGAAGCCATTGGTATCGCAATGCAGTCACCGAAACGGGTAGTTCACTGTACTCGGCGGCCAAGCGACATCTCGATCCAAAGAACATCTTTGCTCTAGGTAACCTCCTGCCCCTGGAGGAGGTCCCTCCAAAGGCAGAGGTGGAGCCTCCGTCATCATCGTCCTCATCGTCACCACCAAAGGCCAAACTGTAAAGGGTAGCCCACTTGTCCGGGCGCTTAGTTCATTTACTAGTCTTAGTCACCATACTGATTTCCTAGTCGCTCTTTTGGGGGTTCTATACCAATCTGTTCTTTCTAGCGGGCTCATGTTTTCTATGGGTTTTGATAAATAAATGGAGTATTTCTAAATGTTCTGCAGTATTTACTTATTGAATGGTTTTAATATAAACTTATATACACCTAACAACTTTTTATTGAGATAAAATGTATGTGGTTAGAATATAAAATTTTGAATGTTGCAAAAAGGATACTGCTTTAAAATCAAATATTTTGTATATTCCTAGTGAAACCGTACCTAGTCACATATATTAGAACATAACTATATTTCTTCCTGTGCAACCATTGCCATAGACACAACATTGATTTGTGTGTGCGTGTCCCGGCTGCAGACCAAATGCGAACTGCTGATCATTGTCTTCTCATCTGCTCATCGAAGTCATTTGCGGCTTGATGGCGCACCGTGCCGTCCAAGAAATGAGCCAGCATCCAAGATCCAAGCGCCCAGAGCCGAGAGATCAAATGTCATCAAGTTGTCAACTTCGTTAGCATGCCGCAAGCCAGCGATCGAGCTTGGCTTAAAGATCTTTCTTGGCCTGGCTGGTTAAACAGATGCACAGAAAAAATATCAAATAAATTAAAGATTGTTATGGGAATTGCTCTTTTAAATAAGAAGCTATCCTTAAATACTTTTCAATCGAATGAATTAATATTTAAGAATTTAAATTTGAGAACACAAAAGTGCTTTGTAAAATTGTATTTTTTATTTGATATTCTTTCTAGAAATTTTTCAATTTTTTTGGGGCAGATGGTTTTATCTGTTTGTTTAAACAAAGTGAATAGTTTTTAACGAAAGATTATAGTATTATTTTAAGAGTTCCTTAAATCTATTTTTCAAAATCTGTATATATTTTTTAGATATCTTTAAGTAAGGTATGTTTTTCAGCATGGTCAAGGAAATAGGAATGAATACAAGACTTAGCTTGCAAAATTCAATTTGTAGTTTAGATCCCTCTTGGAAATCCTAAATGTAAATTGTCCCCTGTTTAGTTCCCTGCCATAAATGATATTACCAATTTTTCACTGTGTGCAAATAAGAAGGGGAATGAGGCAACTCCGGCGGCTTATTGATGGTCGAGTAGAAGTCGTCGACTTGGCCTGTCTTGTTACCCTGGCATTGGATACTATATGGTATATTATGGTACGTACCCCCCGAGTGCATTTCGGCCAGGCTCGCACACACATGCGGCCTATAAATAAAGATTACAATCAGGCGAAGTGAGCAGAAGAGGAGTCCGTCTAAGCCACGGCCTGCCGCCTGGAAATTGTCAGCAATTAACCCGCGGGTCAGTCCCGGAAAACGTTGGCAGTGCCGCGACTGCAGACCCTGTGATTTATGCCACAGCGCAGCCTCCGAGCCAAAAACCCACAATCAAGGCCAAGGGAGATCGGAGAATTACAATCCTGACACGTTCGCCAGGCGAAAAACAAAGACGAAATGCTCTTCTACCTG